AAGGAAAGAAAAAAGAACTACCCCTCCATCTCTCTGTAAACATGCTTTAATCTTAGTACATTAAATTCACTGATGTAGAAAGGATTACTTACAGACTCACAATGGTGTCTTTTGAAAGACAAGGAATGTCCTCCAGATTATACATTTTGTTGTGATCTCTCTTAAGCTAATTATTTCCATCTTGAAAATATACAAAATTAATAATATTCATGGTATCCAGGCTTTCAGTGCAAGGAAAACAGTTGCTGGAGGCTCCACTGAGCTTACTCTATTCAGCATTAATGTTGCATAAACTGTGCCACACAGCCTTTGTAATATTACTATAATAGTGGCATTTTTACTCTTCCCTTCTTAATAGAAATTCAGAAGACATACACACTACTTCCCATTTTATCCTCACAACAGCCTTGTGATGTAAGTTAGGCCAAGAAATTTACCACTCCAGTGTCATGCATGGAGATTGTGTGATTAAAGCTGGGACTTGAACCCAGCTCCCCATGATCTAAGGACAACAAATTTGTTCCTAAACTACATCATGACATTTATTGTCCCACAACAAAACAAAAAGGCAACTTGTGAAACTACTAACCAAAACACACCAATGCTTGGAAAACATTTTCAGCTGAATCAGCAACCCTGCTTTGCACTTTTTAAAAGTGCTTTGTGAACTTAACCCAGCAACACCAACACTGGAATCCTATACAGGTTTACTCATAAGTAAGCTCCACTAAGTACAATGGTATTTACTACCAAGTAAATGTGTATTGGGTTGCAAATGCAAGACGGTTTTTAAAACACATTCTTATTTTAATCAGCCTGGCTTGAAAACAGCTTTTCTTCCTATCCTACAATCAGTTCTTTTTGAGGTTTCACATTTGATCATGTTTCTACAAAGAAATCAATTCCATGTCGGAGGTAGAGGGAACAGCGATTGTTCCTCTGATGCAATAGCTTGGTGGGGGGGCTCTGTCCTATTCAGTAGGGACAAGCATGTCAAGAAAAATTCAGGCATGACAGAGCTATCGCACTCTCCCAAATCCAGAACACCACCTAGCATGCTGCTCCTTGGAAAGAAATTTCTTCAGAATAAAAGTGGTTTGAGAAATACAATGGCTGACATGAGCACATCCTTCAACATACACGGGGCACCTGCAAGCCCTTAGTCCATAATAAATTCCTATCTGCCACCTCATCAGAAATCTTACTTGATCTGAAGCACCACACAGATCAAAAACGGCTGCTTTAGAAGTTGCTAAGCAGACATTCAAAGCCACAAAAATGCTCATCTCAGGCAGTGTTCCTTTTCTTCTAACTACCACATATGTTTTAGCAAGTTTACGTTACAGGGTTGACAAGGATTTTTATGACTTATCACATGTGTATCCTACAAAAGGTCAGGGAGCATCCTGCCTGCATAGTTATACATCAAGCTAGCATGTCAAGTCCCCTTTGCTAAGCTGGAAAAGTGAGGGCCTGCATCTGGATGGGTGACCACTTGTGGAAACGGAGCACGGGGTAAGACTGGATGGCCCTACAGGACTCTTCCATTTCTACTTCTATTCTATTCAGTGTACATTGAAACGTCTCCATTTTACCATCAGCTGTTCTCCTATACTTACTTGTCCATGACCGCTCAGTAAAATCCATGACTGAACAGACACCTGAACCCAATTCTTTCCAATCCAACTACACTGCATCACACTGAATTTCTTTGGTATCACACAGAAATGGAATACTTTATTAGATATCAGAAACACAAAGTGAGCAAGGTAAAAAAACAAACGGTTTTGCAGCACAACTGTATGCATGCTGACTCAGAAGCACTTGAAATTCAATGGGGCTTATTCCATAATGTGTTTACAAATGCAACCTTGGTTTTGCCATCAAGGAAGTAAGAGTTTTCTTACAGTGCATTTACAACAGCAAACACAAATGTGTTTGATAAGAAAATCATTTTGGTATCTTTTCTTCTTTTCCTGCATAGCAAGAACCAAGTTGAGGTAAAGCCACAATGTCTCAGAGTTCGGTGAAGCTTAGATTGGGTTTATTATTTAACTGGACCTCTGCATTACTGATGCAGAATTATTAAACGTGCTAATTTCTCTAGGCCCATCACTGGAAATGTAAATTAGCAACTACAGTTGTTTTTACTGTACTGGAAAAGATATTCTCAGTCACGGTTTGGGTGCTGTAAGAGTATACCATTTTAAACTATTCTTTGCTATGTTCAGTGCTTTCACTCATTCAAAAGGTACATGATAAAGCAGTGGTTGTACCCTTAGCAGAAGCAGGCTCAAACTTCATGAGATACTCTTAACCGTTGTAGACTGCAACCCAAAAATCTTTTTTTTTTCTACAAATGTACCTCTAAGTGTTGTAAGGCACACTTGGTCCTTATTGTTTCTGGTCCATGTTTAGTAGAAAACAGTAACAGTTCTCTTACCCTAAGGATGGGAAACCTGTAGACCTCCAGATATTGTTGGACTGCAGATCCCATTGTCTCTCACTAATAACCATGTTGGCTGGGGCTGATGAGAACTGCAGTCTAACAGCTTATGGGGGGAGGGTGTCCTTATTCCTGCCATATCCTGAGTTGATACCAATATATACTCAAAATATACATTGAAGGATATGCTTGACTATATTCAATGATATCAGATTCACATTTCATATTCAATGAAGTGATTTCTTGACTGAACCGGTTGATGGAAATGATGTCTTCAACATCTGCTACATTCAGTAGTGACATACCTTCAAAAGCTACTTTTGTACTGCTATATATCCACTTCCATTTTAAGGGCTTAAAGTAGACAGTGCGTTTACAAATAGTCAAGAAAAGAGAAATCATTAAAAATAATGTGTTCACTAATGCCATCCCACTATTAAGGCCTCCCATAATCTTGAATAAAGTTCAAATTTAATTATCATTTAGGGAATGGATGGGAGGGCTTCAATAAAGAATAAAGGACAATGTTATATTAAACAAGAGAAACATGAAAAAAATAAAATTGTTTTTATACTTATATTGCTGTATTCTTGGTTTTTGTTTGCTTTGGGTTGTTGTTGCTGTTGCTGCTTTTGCTACTGATCTTTGCTATTGTAAAACACCCTGAAGATATTTGCATGTTGAGTGGTATACAAATCTAATAAATAAATAAAGCTTCTGCTGTATTTTAGGGCCTATATTGAAATTACATTTAGATTGATCGATTTCAAGCTTCTTATTCTTTATTAACCCCCCCCCCCCAACACTGCCCTTTAAAGGGAGCATTCTTCCATTGTTTTGGAGCATCCCCATTGTTTTGGAGGCAATCTTAGCCAGGACGCTGTTAATCAGGACCCAGAATAGGACACTGCCTGACTTATGTTACGTTGCAAAGCAACACTAGCACCAAATAATGAAGTGGGCCCCACAAAAAATCAAGACTGGGTTAGGGTCCAGTAGGAGGCATTTTTATCTGACAGCTCCCTGCCAACAGAGACAATCATTTCAGAAAAGTAGCTTAGGCTCTTGTCCTATGGACACTCATCCAATGAACTCAGTGGGATTTATTTCTGAGTAGACATGTCTAGGACTGTAGTGTAAGACTTACTTGTTTTGTCTAGCATTTGGGGAAACAAGGATTATTTAATAACTAGGAAATAATTGTGTCATTTTAGGCTGCAATAATTCATATAAAATATAGCCCAAAATTGGTATTTGAAAGGTGTTCAGATAGCAATGTTGCAGAATTTATTTTGACAAGATGCAGAATACACACAGTTCCGAATAAAGAAACCTTGCATAAACTTGACTTGCATAAAATTGACAGTATCAAGCAGTGATTCAATAATGCTTCTGAATTACCTGGTGGCCACTCCACCATGAGAAAAGCTGCAGCTGCAGCTCCTAGCACACTTTTCAGGCACCCTTGGGTCTATTGTATGTATTACATTCTTCAAGCATGGCTGTACCATGAAGTAAGGCAACATCTGGAGGGCTGTGAGTGCGCTCCCAATACACAAATGTGCATGTGCAATATTTACACATGACACAAAACGTGACATCCAGATACACCCCAGGAGAACTAGTGCAAAGGAGCATTATCATATATTAGAATGGCCTGATAGTCTATGACAACTCACACACATAACATACTCATGCACAACCGCAGTGCCGTTGGGCCTTCAAAGCAAAGCAGTCCGGTTCTGCAGAGGCTGCTTCCAGTTAATCAACCCAACAGCTCTACCAAGCCATACTTCACAGACAGTTGTCATTTCCCAATAACAATTTCAGTGCTATCACCACTTCAACAGCAACACCACCCCCGCCGCTTGTTCTTTATGTTCGCTTCCTACGATACAATCGGTAACTGCTGTCACTCTATAATACCGCCAGGCTGAAAAACAATTTTAAGATCAATGCCAATTGTTGTTGTTTGGTATATTCAGTTGTACATTCAGCTGTATTTTTCTATTAGCCAGAAAGGGCAGCAGTCTTCAGATCTGCTACAATGTCCAAGCCAGTACATTTCTATCTTCATAATTTCATTGCCCGTTACATTTCTGCCAGATATGTTCATCCCATCAGAAACTCAGCAGTCTGAACTTGCCATCATCCGTCTTTCTGGTTGACAAATGGACGTATATACACCGTCTACACCACCTCTGCTGAGAGAAGACAGGTAGCCCTCCTTGCAGCAAATGCATTCCACCCAACCCCTGAAAACTCTGGAATGCTTCCCCGCTGCCTTCTTTGGAGTCGAAGGCATAAAACAAAGCTTTCCTGGTCCAGTCTGCCTCGTACCCAAACACAGTGAGTTCCCACCCAAGTGCTGAAGAGCCATTGTTTTTTCCAGGCAGCCAATGATGCAGGCTCCTGCCCCTGCGTTGCACAAACCCAACATTTATCCCGGATGCATCAAGAAGAGACCTTCGGGGAGGGAAAACAAGCAAGAAAGCGAGCGAGCGAGCAAGCCCTTCTTGAAGCTCAGTAACAACAACAGGCAGAAGTCACAAACCTGCAATAGGGTTCGTATAGTCATAGTCAAATAAGATCGAGAAGTCCAGCTCTTCTTGAGGGCTGAGATTTGGATTCGGATCGGGGTCTCCCGGCTGGGAGTTCGGATTCGAATCGCTGGGACTGGACGAAGCCATCGGCGATGCCGGTGATCTCTTGCGTGTCAAAAGGGGTGGGGGCGGGAAGGGGGGACAGAGGCCGGGGCAGAGGGAGCCCTCGCCTTCCCTGAGCAAGGGCTGCGCGCGCGTGTCAGGTGTATATTCACGAAATCCTCAAACGTCCCGCAGCCCCTTCCCAAAATGAATGGTTAAAATCCGTTCTAAAATGCAACTAGGGGGAAAAAACCGGAGTGGCAGGTGTCGCCGAGCTTCAGGGGCTTCCTCGGAGTCGCACGCTGTCAAGCAAGCCGCGAAAGCGTCTGCCACTCTCCGCGGGAGGAGACCCTGGCGGGCGAACAGGCTCCCTCGCACCCTCGGCTCCTGCCCCTGCCTGGCTGCAGCCGAGCAGCGAGCGCGTGAAACTAGCAGAGGCTCAGTAGCAACTTCCTGTTCGCAGCAGCCACCTGCGGCTGGGAGGAGAGCGCCGCCTCGGGAGGGGGTGGAGCGGCGGCCCCCGGCGCCGAGAGGGGACGGGGCGCCGCGGCCTTGGCAAGGCGTCAACCGGTGCGGGCCGAGATGCGCGGGAAGAGAGACAGTCCGGGCTCAGGCGGGCCTCCTGCACTCGTGGCGCCCCGTGAAACGTGGCCAAGTGGTTCGGAGCGCGCGCCCGGCCTCGGAGATGCACAGGAAGCTTGCTCTGCAGATGCGGAGCCGGAACGCAAGGAGGGCCCCCCCTCCCTTTGCGGGCAGGTTGCTCGGTCCACTCCGCGCACACAGCCTGCCACTTTTCTCCGTCCACTTTTGACATCTGCAGACACCGAGAAGGGGAAGTTTTTCCCAGTCTGGAAAGGCACAGATGAAGTTTGCTTCTCCAGGCAGAGGGATGCACAGATGGTTTGCATCTGGCTTGTCAATGATGAAACAAGTGTCTTAAACATTATGAAATTATATATCGAAATGAAACTGGGGAAGGAAAAGCCCACTGCACACATTGTTTACCAGGTACCAGTGTGCAAGTCAGATTCATTTCAGTGGACTTTGCACAGGAGAAATTCTGGGTGGCCTGGGAAAACTGGAAGGAAACCAACAACTTGAAGCAAAGAAAAATGGTGCGCACACATAAAATGACATGGCAGAGTTTTAAGAGAAGTAAAACAATGTTTTATGGAGGTGGTGAAAATGTGCGGAAGGAAGCAAATACCTGTTCAGCTATCCCACCTTTTCTTTTTATAACTGCCAAGTTCTACCCTTTAAGGGGATCTCTTTTTGGGTCACCTTCCCCTTAATCTTTTATCTAATATGGGTGCACATGCTGATTATTCAGGAAATCCAACTCTGAGACATTACAGGGTCTTCCAGTGAATTGAGTAGAAGTCCTTTCAGTTTCACTTCTACTTTTAAAAACTGCCTGTAGATTCACCACAGATCAACATGTACCGCACCCAATGGGATGAATCATGGGTTTTCCTTATGTGCAAACCCTGTCCTAAGGTTTAACCATGAACAATCCAAAGAAAGAACCCATAGACCTCATTCCCAAGACCCACCACTGTTTATTTTACCCTGCAGAGCTGTCTTACAATGCCTCGCATCCACAAGTGCCATTTTCACAAGTGTTTGACTTGCTGTGACATTTTGAGTCATGCAAATGTAGGTTAGACAGCTTTCAAATAACAAGCCATGGATTATTTGAAGGTTGTCTAATTCTAAAACAAACGCAAAAACAAAGAACCCTGCCATCTGGGTTCACATGATATCGCTGTTATCTTTTATTTAATTTCTGCAGCATCCAACAGCCAAAACTCTCTGAGAGATTTACATGGCAAGCCTCAGCAATCATGGACTGGGGTTTACATGGTCAGAACTACTGCCATTGACAATGATGAAGCTCACAGATGGACTAAAGGCACCATGCTAGGCATGTTTAGTAAGACAAAGTCCTACAATTCCTGGAGATCTGTGCTGGCTTAGGAATGCTGAGAGTTCTAGGATTTTTTGTACCCTATATCATGTTGCTGACTGTTTTTCAAAATAGGCACCTCAATTGATTTGTGAACTCTCCATGTTCGTATGAAGAGGAATCATATTATTATTACTTTACATTTATACCCCACTTTTTCCTACAGACAGCTTACATTGTTCTTATCCTTTCCTTTCACAGTATCCCTGCAAGATAGGCTAGCTTGAGAGCCTGTGACTGGCCCCAAGTCACCCAGTTAGCATAATTCCTGAGTGGAGACCCTAACCCTAACCCTAACCCAGATCACCTAAGATTTCCTGAGTCTCAGTCGAAAACTCTAGCAGCTATGCTACACCAACTCCACCAGTTTCTAGTGTGGAAAAGTCCAGGCCCTGAGCTAAAACTCCATCTCAAATGCTATATTTCCTGGTGAGAACAGAGAGGAAGACTGATAAAGGTGCACCCCTGAGATTGTACCCATTCGCAGACAAACAAAAAGCTTCACAAGTTAAACTGGGACTGTCATTCAAGTATTTTTGTGTATAATGTTTGTTTTTATCTATGTCATTTTTAACTTTTGTTAACTTCCCAGAGAGCCTCAGCTATTGGGCAGTACACAAATACATACATACATACATTTTAAAACACTGTTCCCACTGTTCATACCAAAGTAGCCATATGCACAATCTGAAACATTCACCAGACTATCTTTAGCACCACTTCCTGAAAACAGAACATGAATGGCAGTCCTCGAAGGATGACCAAGTCATGCAGCAGCAGCTGATGTACATTTTACATACACCAACAATGCAGCATTCTGATGTCTGCAAAACCAGCAGACCCTAATTATTGCTGGCTCTCCTCTATAGTCGTGCACTTGAGATAGAGCCAACGACAATGAGATGCAACATTGAGATGCAAAGCATTAGGGACATCTGCTTACCAAGTGTGTGGGATTCATCTGTCGGACCAAGGAGGCTCCAGGCAGTCATCAAAGCCTCCATAGTGGCCTTAGGCAAGCTGCCATCTCTCGGCCTAACCTACCCAACAGGGCTGTTAGAAATTAAAAACCATGAAGTGGGTGGACTGAAGCAATCTGATCTAAGCTCCTTGACAGAACGGTGGATAATAATATAATAATTCTATAAAAATATGTGAGTGCCCTATGCCCCAGATAGTTAGCATTTTCAAATAATAATTAGTGCTCTCTCAGTATTGCCATCACCAATCAAAGGAAAACATGCCAGTTTCTACCACTGGATCTTTGCACCACAATATCTTTTCCTTAGGATGTGTCCTGATGTTTTACTTTACACTCAGAATCATGTTTCCAGTTATCATATAGCTTTATCTATTTTTGACCTGTAAAAGTCAAGGTCACCTCACCATGTGACCAATTAACTGTGAATACTTTGTTTGAATGTGCCCTCGAGTGGAGAGTGTTGGTATTAAAAGAGTCTACGGAAACCTGATCTGTCAAGTTTGACCTGAAGTGGTAAATACCATCTTTCACCACAGGAGAAGTTTAAATATTCACTGTACAAAATGGCTGAGTTGATTTCACTGCATCAAATCACAATCCATCAACTCTCCCTGGCTGCCATATTGAGGACAACACAAGGCCATTTCTGCCTATTGGCCAATGAGCCTCTGAAGCTCTTGATTTCTCCAACTTGGTATGCTCCAGACATTTTGGACTTCAGCTTCCATCAGCCCTAGCCAGCATGACCAATGGTCAGGAATCCTGAGAACTGCAGTCCAAAACATCTGGTGGTCTCCAGGTAGGGGTTTGTCTCAGTTGCTTGAGCCATCCAAGGCTCTCAGGTCTATAGGAACCTTTATGGGGTTGGACCTGATGGCCCTCTGGTCCCTTCTAACCCTGTGATTCTATGGAAAGCTCTTTGCAGCTGATCTTTGCATGTGATAATTATGTTCTTGGCTTATTTTTAAGAGGCATGATGTGTTAAAGATTGCACTCCGAAGTCCTGATTTCTTCCAGCCCTACTCAGTACAGGTGTGGGGAACCTTTGTTCCAGGGGATAAATTCTGCCCTTCTGTGGTCCCACTCTCACTCTCCAGGGTTCCTTTGTGGCTTTCAGCTTTTGTGCAATTTTCCCAATGTTAAAAGTTTGAAATGTTTCCCCTAAATCTTTATTGGCAGTAAAAAAATTATGCCGGTATTCTTTATATTTTTTGCTGGCCACATCCCTTTTGTCTTTGGTCACATTCCCTTGTCTTCAGTCCCACTCTTCCCTGGAATCTAGCCCCAATTTAATTTGGCTTCAGTCTGGAAGAAGTTTCCCACCTGTGGTTTAATGGTCTTCTGATTCCTTCCAGATGTACAATTCTTCATCAGTCCAGTACTGGTTCCAGGTTATGTGGGACTTTGGAGCAAGATGCTCTCACTACACCTTTCCCTCACTTTCCCTCCTAGTCCTCCCTGCAGTCACTTGACTTTTCTTCTAGGGTTAGGTTCAATAATATCACCTGTCACGGGGACAGGAAAAGGCATGTGATGCTTATTGCTTATTACTATCTACTTATTAGGAAAGGGCAGGTGAGCAGGAAGTGACATCAAGGAGGAGGAGGAGGAACAGGACCATGGGCTCCTGTGAGTGGTAATAGGCCCTTGTTGGAGCAAGGGCCTCAGGAGGTACCCAATCAAGTCAACCAACCCCTGATACCAACACTTTATCATAGGTCACAACATCAGAATGGTTTCTGTCTCAACTTGCAATGCAGGGAAGATAATATTGGCCTGAATGGATGAGTCATACACCAATCCCAGTGTTCTGTCCCTTGGTATGTGAAGACACCAACTGCTTGAAGGTGCTCTCTGCCCCTGTTAGTCTCCTCCACTAAAGAGGCCTACACATATATAAATCCATGCGTGGGGATATGATTCCTGGTCAACACATGTCAATGGAAGTGGAGGGTGGCCAACATATGTGTTGGTGCCTAGCAGGGCTAACACTCTTATGCATGAAATACTGAATGCCTGAAGAGGATACCTATGAGGAAATGCCCATCCAATTTCAAGCAGCAACCACAGCAGTATGATCATATGTGAACTATGCCTTAGTTGGTTTTGCATTTGGGATAGGGTTATAAAAAAGAAGAAGAAAAGAAACAAAGGACAAAGAGAGCTCTGCTTTGCATAAATTCAATATGTGCTGATTTAAATGCATACATGAAAATTTGGAAATACTTAATATCATCTAAAGGACAGGAGAGCCTGGAGGAATGTTGTGCATGGGGCCATGATGGGTCGGGCACAACTTTGCAACTAGACAAATATCATCTAAAACAGGGGTCTCAAACTCAACTGACCTGGGGGCTGCTGGAAGTAGAGTCTGGGTGAGGCTGGGCCGCATCAAG